AAGAAGGACTCGGGGACATGGCTGGAGTTTTGAAGAATTGGAAGGGATGTGTCAGACGAAGAGTTGAAGAATTGGAAGGGTTGTGGTAGAAGAAGAGGTTGACATTGACTCTAATGACCTATTATTATTATAAATCACACGCTTAAAGAATAGATAATAGGAATCTTTTTCTTCATTTACATTCAATGTTACTCCATGTACTTATAGCTAGAAGTGGAGTCGAAAAAAATGAAATTCAAAAAAGTCAACTACTCATGTTCAAATTTCAGTCTCTATCAAGTTTAAATATTAGAATAGGGGATATAGTCATGATTCAATACACAAAGCTATAATTTAAAGTTTATGAGTTTTGAACTATGAAAATTACGTGACGTGTTCCCTAATGAGATTGATCTTAGTTGAATGTCCTCGTAATTGGTGGTATTTAATAAATGTATTCCACTTTTTTGCCCCTCCAGATCTTTCTTCTCCATCTCTTTTCCTTCACCGAGAACATCATAATTCTTCAATTTTAAAAGATTAAATTCCAATTTGGGATTGAAAATTCAAAGTTAATAGTTAATTACTGTTTAAATCGTTTGAGTATTAATTATTTATACTTAAATTTTTAGTTTAAACATTGATTTAGCTTTTTACTTTAATTAAAAGTCTCAAAACTCCAATGTTGGTCTTTAGAAATTGTTGAAGAAATCAAAATGGCTCTTCTTGATTATGTATTATTTTAGTAAATTGGTGATTGAAGATCGTCTGTATTGATATTTCGAGGCTTTATTTTAATTTTTGAGATCATCTGGATCAGATTACTCGAAATTAGAATTGCACGTGTGAAGAACATTTTGCCGAACAACAAAGAAAAATTATATCAATCGGATAGACTTAATGAACATTTAACAAATACGTGAATTGCATATAACACAAAGTGATGCCAATCTGCTAGAGTTTGGTGAACAATTAAACGAGCATAAAATCATGCCAACAGGTGGAGCTTTTGATTAACTAACAATATAGATAGAGTAAATATAGCATAAACTCTACCAATCCGGTAGAGAAATCCTTGAAGAGTTGTACGGGTCCGGGGCCATTTTTAAATATATTCAAAAAGGAGAACAATATTTAAAGACCAGCTCGTTATAGGGTCATTCCTGTCAATTACCCTTCCGAACTTGTCACCGAACTCTTAGCTCGTCTTAGTTAATTGGTTTAAAATTATGCATTTATACATATTTAATATGTTTCTTAATACAAATTTAGGATCTAAGCAAAGCAATAGAATTCATTCGAATCCACACTTAATACTCTAGCTCCGCCCCGTTTATAGTACATTAGCATTTGAGTATTTTAGATATTGAATAACTTTAAGAGATAGATGCAGAGGGAATCTATTAGGAGTCCTAATTACTCAAGACTTCATTGAACACCTGGAAGCTGTAGTTACTCCAATACGACCACTATCATAGTCATGACACTATCTTTAGTTTACGGAATTTCTGCTAAAGAAATCCTGTTGATGTTTTGGATCACCGTAGGTCAAAACCAGTAATAAAGTGTGATTTCTGATGTAAATAATATTAGGTAGTCGGTAAAGCAATCTTTAAGAGCCTCGTCTTGTTGTTCACGGAGAGCCATGTATATGTCCTTCTTCCGCCTGTTCTTTAAGCTCGAACTCAAGCTGACTGATTTCCAAGCGGGACCGGAGGAAGATTTTATGATGGAGCACCGAAGCCTGAAAAACAATGAGGTCATTAGAACATGCTAAAACTAAGAAAAATTCACAAAGGATACAAAGAGTAGACATCTTACCCGGTTCAGTGCCTGTTGCGCCTCGTTGAAGAGGCTCGATGTGCCTAGTTCATTCATCTTCGCATGGTCCTCCTCGGTCACAGGCAACAAAGGTAGCTGGCCACATCCACTGGAGCGGACAGCACCCGAGCATCAGTTGGGATAGTAAGAACGTCCATTCTCTTACAGTCGGGATCTACACTCGGGGTAGGGAACTGCCTCACTAGCTTCGGGCTCAAGCTCGGCTCGCCCTCTCTCGATGGAATGTCCTTTTTTGGGACCTCCAGGTGACCAAACTCGGAGTAGTCTACCAACGCGCTCATGCCCATGTTGTTGAAGAACATATCGAGGGCATCATCTGGGCCCGGTGCCGTATCAGTTGATTTCTCTTTATTTGCTTGAGCCTCTTCAAGAATGGACTCTGTGTGGGACGGTGCTCCGGTGATGTCAATGAAACCGGCTACCTCCTTTGGATCAGGATCGGCCTCTCGGGAGGCCGTGGCCTCTGATTCACCTTCTGGTTCCCGATCTAGAGGGGAATCGACCTCTCGAACACCTTCCTCGATTTTCGCCTGCTCTCCCTCTTCAACAGTCGACCCATGAGCAATGAAATCAAGATCGTCATCCTCAAGGTAATCCCAGAGCCGGAAGAGGGAATCTGGGTCCGGCACCCTGGCTTTGGTGTTCTTTTTGTTACTTTTTCGGACCCGAACAACAACCCTCTTCTTCACCTCGGCGTCCAGGGAGCCAGAGAATTTCCTCTTTTTCTTTTCTCCTCCTTTGCGGCATCCCCGGGCTGTCACGAAGCAGAGGGTTCAGCAAGCGAGGATGGGCCTCGTCCTCATTCAATGGCTGAAGCTCGGTGGTCTTGGGCAAACCTATGAAAGGGAAAGAGACTTAGAAAATATAAAAGTTAAGTATGTAAATGTGATTATTCGGGCAGAAAACTCACCATGTGAACAGGTCTCCCAATTTCCCCTCGAGAGCTTGCGCCGTTCGCGCTCGAAGTAAGACATTTGTTTGCAAATCTCCTTGATCCACTCCTTGAAGCGGGGGATTGCATTGGGAACTTGGGTGATCGCTGCCCAATGGTAGACGCATGCAATTAGAAAAAGAACTAAAGGAAATAGCAAGCACTCGAGAAGGAGAAGACTTACAGGATGAGTTCCATTTCTTAGGGAATGGTAGAAATGGGGGGGGGGGGGGAGGGGGGAATGAGATCTTCGATTTTCACCCAAACCAACCACCCCTGCCAACCTCGATCTCGATCTTCATCGATGCTCGAGAATAAAGCTTTACTTGCTAGACAAACAAGCTTGATTAGCCCCACTCGGAAGATTCGGGGACTGTGGAGACGAAGCAGGTGGTCGAGCGGTGAATCGAGGTGCTTTGGTGTTGTTTACAAAGTGGCGAAGGAGGATTATGATCCTCCAAAAGGACGGGTGAGTCTTCCCAAGACGAACATCATACCTCTTACAAAAGCCAAGGATTATAGGGTCTACCGGGGTGAGCGTGAAGGGCTAACTGTAAACATTTAAATACCCCTCCACATGAGTGTTGATGTCCATATTGGACCCAGGAACGACCACCTACTTGCCCTCCCAATTGCAGTCCACCCAGACTGTGCGGAGTATATCTTCGATGGTCGAGAATATGTACCTCCATACCCCCTCGCCTCGATCTTGCTTACTGGAAACCTTCTCAACTTTGAAGTCATTTTCGATGGAACAAACCCCAGGAATGAAACTCTTTAACGGAGGCTCCGAGACCACCTCAGGAACAGACATCTCGATATTCGCAACTGGGTTGGAAGTTGAAGGGGCGGTTTGTTGAGCCATGGATTGGAAGTTTTTGTCATCAGATTCTGAAAAAATATCAATATTTGAAGAAAAGTATGAAGGTTTGAAGTTGGGGATGAAGATTTGAAGATAGAGATGAAGATATAAGATCTGATTTGAAAATGAAGATATGAATATATGGAAAGCAACATATGAAGATTTGAAGAGTTTGTTGTTAAGTGGAGAATTCGAGGGTAAATCAAACTGCTCTAAAATCGAAAAGTGAAAAAGTGAAAAGTGGTCGGAGTTTTTGTAGAGGAAAAGAGTAATCAGTGCGTGACATTAATTTCGCATTTGAGTACAGTCAACCGGCGGCTGACACATGTCCGAAGTCTGAACAACGCGATTGATGGGACGTTTCGCTGACCCGTCAACCCAGGTGTAACCTACATAGGAAGGAACCAGGGTTAATTCATCGCTTCTCGTCGCTTCGATAAACCTACTCTCCAAAAAACGAGGGGACCATCTGTGTACGGCTAAAATCGGGGGAAAAGTTCCCCTTGATTCCCCGATGAGAGAACGAAGGGAAAGTATGGATTGATGTTATTATAATCGAGGTCGAGAACCCCTCATATCGATACCTAGGAAGAATGAACGGTGTGTTGAAGATCGGACACTGTAAGGCGACGTACCCCGGACCAAGTATGGCTTCTGTACCTCGCAAAGCACGGTGAATGGTTATGCATGATGGATAGGGGATGTAATATTCGCCCTCAATCTGATTTTACGGCGCGAATCCCGTTCGGTGTTCATTATAGACCAAAAATTCCTAAGAAAATAAGATTTTTACCTTTTTTAGACTTGTATTAGGATTAAAATTCTCCTACTATATAAAGGGGAGGTTTTTCTTTAGCCTGATATTGTAACACGCATTTCAAAGTAATAAAAGTTTACTTTTGTCTTCTAGCTACTGTTCAAGGCATTATTCCCTTGTTCTTTTATTCACTCGCGATCGAGGTTGTACCAAGGGTCCAATCGAGGACGAGCCCCATTGTCCAATCGGAGATCAAGTTAAGTCATTACATTGCGATTGTTTGATCCTTTATTTCGTCTTTAATTCATGTATCTTTTATTCTTAATTGTTCGTATTAAATTAAACCATGTATCCTTTAAACCACATACAAATTTAATTGTTACTCATTTTTGCGATAGACACATTCAAAAAGGAGAACAATATTTAAAGACCAACTCGTTTATAGGGTCATTCTTGTCAATCATCCTTCTGAACTTGCCACCGAACTCTTAGTTCATCTTAGTTAATTGGTTTAAAATTATGCATTTATATATATTTAATGGGTTTCTTAATACAAATTCAGAATCTAAGCAAAGCAATTGAATTCGTTCGAAACCACACTTAATACTCTAGCTCCGCCCCGTTTATAGTACATTAGCATCTGAGTATTCTAGATATAGAATAACTTTAAGAGATAGATGCAGAAGGAATCTATTAGGAGTCCTAATTACTCAAGACTTCATTGAACTCCTGGAAGCTGATAGTCATGATACTATCTTTAGTTTATGGAATTTCTGCTAAAGAAATCCTGCAGAACCGCAAGTCAAAACCTGTAATAAAGTGAGTGATTTCTGATGTAAAAAATATTACGTAGTCGGTAAAGCAGTCACAAATACGTATCATGCTGCTTTCTGGAGTGTAAGAATTTGTGCATAAATTTGGTCTTTCTTTTGGTTAATTCTATGTAAACGCTTTTCGATAGATCTAATGTCTTTTGTAATGACTTGCATTTTCTGTTTAAGCCTCTCCACATTGGCATTGGAGATCATTTTGATGGGATGTGTTTGATTGAAGAGAACCTGCAAAAAATACGGAAGCCAAGATGTTAATGTCAATTAGCTAAACTATTAATAAGAGAGTGTTTGGCTAAGCTTATAAGCTGGTCAAACTGGCTTATAAGCATTTTTTGGCTTATTTACGCGTTTGGTAAAATTAAAAATGCTTATAAGTTAAGTGCTTATAATCCAAAAATAAGCCAAAAGTCATAAGTTGGTCTCCCCCAGCTTATCAAATTTCAGCTTATAAGCACTTTATGTTTGACCAAAATATTTACTATTTTATCCCTAAAATACTTCTTTTTAAAACAAAACTCTTCGTACACCCAGTTCTTCAGCTGCTTATTATTAATTTCAGCACTTTTATCCAAACACGTAACTGCTTATTTTTTAAATCAGCTTCAGCACTTAAAAGTGCTTTTCAGCACCTAATGCGTATCAGCTACTCTAAATCAGCTAAGCCAAACGCGCTCTAAGCCATCTCTCATTAGCTATTCGTTATTTTCCTGAGATGTTCATGCTTTTTGAATTTTCGTTCCTCTCTTTCAATTAATGATGCCTTAGATATTAAACACACATTACAAATTAGGGACAAGTAAGAAGGGATCAATTAATTAGAGTAAAGTACTATTTCTTCAACTCGGCTATGGGGCACAATACGAATTTAATTTAAAAGCTTTGTTGGGGTGGGGCAGAGCGAGATTATATTCATCTTCGAAAATACATACTAGCAAAAATAAAATTTTCAAAATTCCATGGACATGCAGAAGACAAATTCATATTTAAATTTGATAATTTCCCCGTACCTTATTGTGAACCAATTTGGTCTCTTTAGCACTTTCAACGTCTTCTCTTGTATCCATTGCTGCTGTTATCTCCCGAAAAATCTTCTTCTCATCAGCTAAAGAGTTACTCCCGTGTCTTGTCTTGCAACACAAAGTCTTAATCTGTAATTAACAAAAGGTAATTAGCCTCAACATAATAATCAGATTTAGGACGTCGATCGGTAGTTTAATTTGGACAACTTAGCGTTCCTAATACAAACACAGATGCGTTTCGGGCACCTCTCACCCAAGTCCTTGCCATAAGAAGCAAAAGGAGAATAATCTTGGGAAAGTGTCTTACCGACAGAGGCTCATTAGGCTTTGCTTCACATGTACTGTAGACACCCAAGAAAGTCTGTTCTATATATTCAAATTTTCGTTGTCTTGACTCATAAGAATATAAGAACGGTAGTAGCCTTCTTATGTTTTCAGATAATTTGTCTCTGTCAAGCTGCATATAGAGTAAGGACAATACCAAAATGCAAAAAAAGTCGGTCAAAACAATGTAGAATAATGCAAGTTATAGTAACGAAAATGAATAACAAAAATTAATAATAATAATAATAATAATAATAATAATAATAATAATAATAATTTTTATGGCAATAGCTCCAATTTTACCGATTATGGTTAGAGATTTTTACTTATTTATAACAATTTTGAAATTTATTTACCCTCACTATTGAGGGTTTAACTTAATTACAAGTCAATATACAAATTACCAATTTTATACAAAATAATGTATTAGGCTCTAATCTTTCATAGTTTCTCTCCCTCTTCCACCCCAAAACTAAAATTATAAATTAACAGAAGAATGTTTGGCCTTTTACTTGTCAACTTCAGCCACACCTTTACGAGAACAAAGAGATTTGGCATCAAGCAATTCTATTATTTTTTCTCTTTCTTTGTATTTTCTATTTTTTTGTTATGTTAAACAATTAACGAATTATCACTTTGAACAAGGGAAGATCATAAATTCTTTTAGATTTTTGGAATCAATAAACAAATAGTATTAATCAAAAGCGAATAGATTGAATTGGAAACTATGTTAATCCATTAGAAAGCATAAAAGCTTTGAATTTGAAAATCGAAATTTGCAAAATTATTTGTTATTCGGATTGGGTGTTGTTGTGAATGATTGGGAATTTGGTGAAGACTCGAGAAAGTTTTGGTTGAAATTTCATATTAAAACTCGAAAAAGAAGATATAAACAAACTGTACAGATTTTGCATGCCGTACGGTATACAAAACATCTGCAATTTATATAATTGTATATAAGTTGTATATAAATTGTATGTAAATAATGGTTTTTGACCGGATTCTGTACAAAAAAATATACATTTAAGTATCATTTCTGGATTTTGACCGAATATGTATATATTTTGTAAAAAAAAAAACTTTAGTGTACAGAGATCTGTTGCTTGATGGTAAAGTCTTCATTTTTTTCTTAAACTTCGTGCCCAGTCAAACAGGTTCACATAAATTGGAACGGAGGAAGTAATATTTTGCCGAAACTTAAACCTGAGACCTCATGTTTCTTATCCTCTTCATAGACCATTAGGTTCACCCAATGGGTTATGGTAAAGTCTAAATTGCATCCAATGGGTTATGGTAAACTGTTTAAGACTTGAGAACATAAAATGTTTGAAAACTTCGGATTTTGGGAATATTAACTAGTATTTGGGAAATAACAAAGAGATGAATGGGGCTTCTGAAGAAACAAGTGAAAAAAAAAAAAAATGAAACAGAAATAAAAACAGAGGATGAAAAGGCTAGTTACCTTTCTCTCTTGTAACTTTTCAAAAATCTTAGCTCGAGTTTGATTTTCCTTGTGTAGCAAATTTAAAGCTCTTTCAATTCTCCAGTTGATTTCAGGGGTTCTGGAAGCTTCATTGCTTGATGCCATGAATTTTTTTCTAAATACTCTAAACCCGATTTCTTGAAGGTGTAGATAAAATATTAAGAAGGTTTATGTGGAGAAAAACGATGAATGATTCGTTGAAGAAAATTAATTATACTACTGCTTAAATATAAAAAAAGGAACTTGGGCATCAAGAAAGGCAACTCCAATTTTCTTCGTTATTATAATATTTGTATCATAATTTCGTCACAATGGAGACTTCTGGGTATTTTTAAAAGAACATTTCAAGACCTGTTCAAGATACACACCTTTCCATTGAATTTTTACGTGGTCTTTTGGGAGAATTTTGAAAACTTCACTCCTATACAAAATTAATTATCTGATAAGTTGATTGACCATCAAAGCTTAATTATTTTATGGTACTTATCAAACTTAGAGAGTGCCAACTCTTATTTTCTTATTAAAGAACTAGATATGGATGCCCGTGCAGCACGGGCCCAACACTACAACCTAGATGTTTGAGCTCATGTGAGCAAGATGTTGACTGTGGTTAAAGCTAACAAGCTGATATAACTAGAGTCAATTAGGTTGTTAATCTTATTTAGTTAGTTAAGCTTGGTAGTTAGGAGTTAGTTAGAAAGTTTCATAAATCAGTTAACACTGTAGCTTTGCTGTATATATACTCTTAGTGTACAGAGATTGCTTAAGCTTTCTCATTTTATTGAATAACATTTCTCTCTTCTCAATCTCGCCTCTGTTCTAGTTCAACTGCCATTTCCATGGCAGTCAACATGGTATCAGAGCTTTGAGACTCGATCTACGCTCAATCACTAACTCAATTTCACTCTTCATCTCTAGTGTTGCTTCAATTCTGCAGAAGATCTGTAGAATTGCTTTCGAGTGACACATCTTGAAATTAGGGTTTGCAAGTGTTGAATCTAGGTCAAAAATCCAGCTCAGCAATGGCGATTGGAGATGATGTGAATGTCACTACCGCTGATACAGGTGATGGCACAGCTGCTACTGTCAATATTTCCACAATTGATCACAATCATCCTCTCTTCCTTCAGCCAACGGACACTCTAAGTAGTACTCTGATTTCTCTTCAATTAACTGGATCAGAAAACTATGCTTTGCGGAGTAGGTCTATGAGGATTGGTCTGCTATGCAAGAGTAAACTAGGTTTTGTGGATGGACGATTTCCTAAATCTAAGTTTTCACCTGAACTGTTTTATCAATGGGAGAAAGTCAATGTTGTAGTTCTCTCATGGATCATGAATGCAGTTAGACCAGGCCTACTAAGTAGTGTAGTGTATGCATATGATGCTCACAAAGTGTGGGAGGACCTAAAGGAGAGATTTGATAAAGTCAATGGGTCAAGACTCCTCTATCTCCATAGAGAAATTCATACATTTGACTCAAGGAACCATGACCATATCTGATTACTTTTCGAAACTGAGGGATCTTTGGGATGAGTTTGATGCTTTCATGCCCTGCCCTGGCTGTCCATGTCCAGAATCAAAGAAGTATGCTCAGTACTTTGAACAACACAAACTTCTACAAATTCTCATGGGCCTAAATGAGTCATACTCACAGTCCAGAAGCCAAATTATGATGATGTCCCCAATTCCTAGTATCAACAAGGCCTATTCTCTACTGGTGGATCAGGAAAGTCAATGAAGTTCAGAAAAATTCTCACACATAGTTCAAGTGTCTGAGACAATGGAAAGTACTGCTCTTTACAGTAATAAAACCCCTGCAAATTCAGGAGGTAATTTCAAACAAAGGAGAAATGAAGTACAATGTGAATATTGCCACTACAAAGGCCATACTAAAGAAAATTGTTATATGCTAATTCGCTATCCAGCTGATTTTAAACCTAAGAAGAAAGGTGGAACCCCTAGTCTATATGCTAACCATGCTAGTGCTGAGATTAATCAGCAGGGAGAAGGGCCACAGATGCAGGTTGGAGTTCAACATCCAGGTCAAAATGGTAGAGGAGATCATTCTGCAGTGTCTCAACCTGTCATTATGCCTCAATGCCCTATGATGTCTATGATGCCTCAATCTGCTCCTTATTCTCAGCCTTCACCACCTGCACCTTATCTCACACAACAACAATATCAACAGATTGTCCAGCTACTCAACAAAAGTGTTGAGGAGAGAACCTCTTCTAAGGCTGCTGCTGCAGGTACTCTGATAGCCTTACTATCAAAGTATCTTAATCATAACTGGATAGTAGACACAGATGCCTCAAGTCACATGACATCCAATTTACAGATGTTAAACAAGTATCAGGTCTTACCAAAACATCAAAGAGGTACAGTTCATTTACCAACAGGAAATGTAGTAACAGTATCACACTCAGGAAATACTACAGTACTTAAAGACCAGAACAATAGTGATGTGTTGTTTATACCTAACTTTAAGTATAATCTATTGTCTGTCTCTCAATTTACCAAGGAATTACATTGCTTAGTGGCATTCTTCTCTGATTTCTCCATATTTCAGGACCTCTACAATGGTCAGGTGCTGGGGATTGGTAAGGAGGAGCATGGACTCTATCTGCTGAAAGGGAACTCACTCCAGAAATCACAGCTGTTAAATAAATGTGCACACTCAGCTAACCTTAGTTCTGAGCCTGTTAGTACTGAATCTACTCACCTATGGCGTCTTAGATTAGGACATGCCCCTATTGATGTAATCAAAAGACATGATGAACTTAGAGCATTGAATAATGATGGTTCATCTCATTGTACTGTGTGCCCAGTAGCAAAGCAATCAAAATTACCCTTTCAGTTGAGTACTACAGCTACTAAATCAATTTTTGAACTGGTACATTGTGATATCTGGGGGCCCTACAGGGTACCTACATATGATGGAAAAAGATAATTTGTCACAATTGTGGATGACTTTTCTAGGTACATTTGGTTGTTCTTGATGCTATAGTGGTCATAAGAAACTTCTTAACCACAGTGTAGAATTCTTTTTCAACTACTGTTAAAACTCTCAGGACTGATAATGGGAGTGAATTCTTTAGTGCTGACTTTAAAGCATTGGTCTCTTCTCTTGGTATTATTCACCAAAGTTGATGTGTTTACACTCCTCAGTAGAATGGAGTGGTAGAGAGAAAACACAGAACAATCCTTGAAATGGCCAGATCACTCAGATTTCAAGCAGCTATTCCCCTAAAGTTCTGGGGTGAATGTGTGAGAACTACAGTTTACCTTATTAGCAGGATACCCCCTAGAGTGTTACATAACAAATCACCCTTTGAAATGTTGTATTTGCATCCTCCTTCTCCCTCACACCTCAGAGTCTTTGGGTGTCTTTGCTATGCATCTAGTCCAAATGAGCATGATAAGTTTGCACCAAGAGCTTTTCCTACAGTTTTACTAGGTTATTCCTCCACTCAAAAGGGATACAAGCTCTACAGTCTGTACACCAAGTCCTTATTTGTGAGCATACATGTAGTATTTCAGGAACATCTCTTCCCTTTCAAACATATGAAGGATGTTGGTACCCCTATATTTCCTATTCTTGACTTGCTACCAACTGCAAAGATCTACACACAAGATGCCTCCTTACATCCTTCTGCTCCCTGTCAAGAACTACCTCATGCCACTGATTATGCCCCTAGTGAAGAATATCAGCATAGTGCCACTTCCACATCTACAGAGTTCACTGCAACAACCTTAGAGCCTCATGATCAACCTTCTGAGACGCCACCTCCTCAGGAGTTAAGAAGGTGTACTAGAGAAGGAAAGCAACCTGCCTGGATGCAGGATTATGTCATTCCTATCAAGCCCAAATCTTGTTCATATCCTATGGCTTCATATGTGTCCTATGCTGCTATAAAATTGCCTTACAAGCAGGCTCTGTCAGCTTATACAGCTATCAAAGAGCCTCAGACCTTCAAAGAGGCTGCTTTGGATCCAAAATGGATAGAAGCTATGCAGCTTAAAATTGCTTCTCTAGAAGCTAATCATACATGGAGTGTTGTTGATCTTCCTCCTGAAGAGATCCCTATTGGTTGAAAATGGATATTCAAGATCAAATACCAAGCCTCAGGGGAGATAGTGAGATATAAAGCTAGACTAGTAGCTCAAGGCTACAGCCAAAATAAGGGCCCGGATTATATAGAAACCTTCTCACTTGTGGCAAAGATGGTGACAGTGAGATCAATAGTGGCCCTGGCAGCATCCAAACACTGGTTCATCTACCAAATGGATGTGCATAATGCCTTTCTCAATGGTGATCTATTAGAAGAAGTCTATATGCAGATTCCTCAAGGGTTTGCCAGACGGAGGGGGGGGGGGGAATCTGAAGGACTGCAAACTACATAAGTCCTTATATGGGCTCAAACAAGCACCAAGACAATAGAATAAAAAGCTAACAGAAGCACTAGTTCAGATGGGGTTTCAACAAAGCCATTATGACTACTCTCTTTTCACTAAGAAGGCGGGCTATCATATTACTATAATACTAGTATATGTTGATGACCTATTAATTGCAGGCAGTAGCCAACAGCTGCTAACTCAGACAAGGAAAGACTTACAAACCAAGTTCAAAATGAAAGACTTGGGAGAATTTAGATTCTTCCTTGGCATTGAGTTTGCAAGGTCCAAAGAAGGAATTGTTATGTGTCGAAGAAAGTATGCTTGGAACTTATTGGTGAATCAGGGTTAGGGGGAGCAAAACCTGCAGGTACTCCTCTAGAGTTCAACCAAAACCTCACTTCTGAGGAATATGACAAGTCTGTTCAGAAGGGCACTCAAGAGGATCTCCTCAAGGATCCAAGACCTTACCAGACTTGTGGGAAGACTACCCTATCTCACTATGACTCGACCTAAATTAGGATTTGTTGTTCAAGTACTAAGTCAGTTTATGCACAGACCAAAGGTCTCACACATTGAAACTAACCTTAGAGTTGTGAGATATGTCAAAGAAGCACCAGGTCTGGGCTTATTCATGCCTGCTCAGAACACTAATCAGTTACTAGCCTATTGTGACTCAGATTGGGGAGCATGTGTACAAACTAGGAAATCAGTTAAAGGATACTTAGTAAAGTTTGGAGATGCTCTAATCTCATGGAAATCAAAGAAGCAAGGGACAATGTCAAGAAGCTCTGCTGAAGCTGAGTTTAGGAGCATGGCATCTTGCACAGCTGAGATTATCTGGTTAGTAGGGCTGTTCAAAGAGCTGGGAGTTGAAGTACAAGTGCCAATGAAGCTAATGTGTGATAGCAAGGTTGCAATCCAAATTGCAGCCAATCCCATCTTCCATGAAAGGAAAAAGCATATAGATATAGATTGTCACTTTGTAAGAGAAAGAATAATGCAGCGTCTGATACAAATTGAGCATGTGGCAACCAAAGAGCAACTGGCACACATCCTTACAAAAGGTTTGGGAAAGGCACAACATGATAACCTGCTTCAAAGACTTGGAGTGAAGAATATGTTTCCAACTATCAGCTTGAGTGGGAGTGTTGATTGTGGTTAAAGCTAACATGCTGATGTAACTAGAGTCAAGTAGGTTGTTGATCTTATTTAGTTAGTTAAGCTTGGTAGTTAGGAATTAGTTAGAAAGTTCCAGAAATCAGTTAACACTGTAGCTTAGCTGTATATTATACTCTTAGTGTACAGAGATTGCTTAGCTTTCTCATTTTACTGAATAACATTTCTCTCTTCTCAATCTCGCCTGTGTTCTAGCTCAACTGCCATTTCCATGGCAGTCAACACAAAATGAATATAAGTTTGATAATTTAGAGAGAAAATGACATGACTTTACAACTCACTGAATTTGTCTTCTCCAATAAGGAAAAGTCAATATCTTTTAATAAGTTTGCAAAGTCAGAATAATGAAGTGTAATTACTTGTGTTCATAGTAACTACAACTCTTACACAATGACTTTCATGTAGCTTTCCATTTTTTATCGAGATATACTTGGATTAAAGATAGAAGGCAAAAAGCAAGTGAAATTTAAGTAATTTGTTAAATACAAAATGAAAAAAATAGATTTGAAGCTTGAAACTAATGACCATTTAGAGTATCATCAAGCACTTAAGGTAAAGTTCGACCGGTAAATCTCTATTGGCAAAAGGAAATTGCATTCAAATAGAAGTGCAAAAAGCACGTGGATGAAAATTACAATAGATCACATCTAAAGGAAATGTAAGAGTAATAGAAAAAAAAGCTCCTTGACTGAATATCCCAAACCAAAAGTAATAAATTATTTCTACATATAAGAAAAGTTTCTAAATGCATGGTTAATCCTTCCTAAAACTTCTCCTTTTTGTTATAATTAGGCGCTCTCAGCTCAGTTGGGACTACTTTAATATGTCAATATGCAGAGGACCAACATTTATTTAGCCACACAATTTGAATAGTAATCATGCCACATAAGTTGATATTAGTGTAGATTCAAACTAAACAGCCTATTCACATCTTTCAACTATGTCTTCCAACCAGCACAGTCAAAATTGATATTGAATCATCCTCGGAGAATGTCACCTAAAGTGAAATGCTATTCGACATAACAAAATAAAAAAGCTAAAGAGTTGCGTCAGAGAGCTACTTCTCTTGCACTATTAAATAATAGGCCATCTAGAGCTTCAACCCTTAATTCCGTGTTTCGAAATCTCAAATGGCTCCTTTTAGCGTTCCTCAATTTGGCGCGCAGTCCGTTTCTCTTTCGAAAGGCTTTTATGTGAAAAATTGATTAAAATGTGAATTCGTGCCTTAAAATTCATTTGAGTTGACTTCGGTCAACGTTTTGAGCAAACGGACCCGGATCCACATTTTGACGATCCCGATGGGCCCGTATTGTGATTTGAGACTTGGGTGTATGCCCAGAATCGAATTTGGTGGTCCCTAGCTCGAGTTATCGCAATTTGTCAAAAATTTAAAGTTTAAAGGTTTAAAGAATTTATAAATTTGACCGAAGTTTGACTTTATTGCTATCGGATCCAGATTTTTGTTCCGGAACATGGTATATGTTCATTACTGTTTTTAAAACTTGTCTGCAAAATTTGATGTAAAACAGAGTTGATTTGACGTGATTCGGACGTCCGGTTGTTAAGATAGAAGTTCTTAAGCTTTATTGAAAAATTCATTCCTTTTGGTGTCTGATTGTAGTTCTATGTATTTGATATTTTGATCGAGCGAGCGAGTTCGTATGAGGTTTTTGGACTTGTGTGCATATTTGATTTGGAGCCCCGAGGGCTCGGGTGAGTTTCAGATACGCGACGGAGTGATTTTGGACTTGGTAAAATAGCTAATACTCTTTTGCTTCTGGTGTTTTGTTGCAGGTCTCGCATTTGCGAGATCTGGCTCACATTTGCGAGCCCCGCTATTGCAAACAAAGCTTCGCATTTGCGAGCATGGGCTGGCCGGGGAAGTCTCGAATTTGCGAGGCAAAAGTTCGCATTTGCGAACTTGCTCTTTTTTGCTTTTGCGAAGGCAGAGTCGTATTTGCGATGACTGGTCTTCTGAGAGGAGTTCGCATTTGCAACATCATTCTCGCAATTGCGATGTTCGCAATTGCGAACTAAATATCGCAATTGCGACATCCGCAGCTAGTTAAAAATTGAGATAGACGGGATTTTGCTCATTCTTTCAAATTTTCAACCCTAAAAACCTTAGAGGCAATTTTTCCAAGAGCTTTTCTTCCTCAATTCATTGGTAAGTGACTCTAATCTACTTCCTTTCAATTACCCACTATATTTCATAAGATTACAACCTTAAATCTAGGATTTTCGCTGTAGAAATTAGGGATTTGGGTAAAATTAAGGATTTTTGTAAAATTGGATTTCAGACCTGGAATTGTGGTCGGATTTTGAAACAAATTACATAACCGGGCTTGGGGGTGAATGGGTAATCGGGCTTTGGTTTGAATTTCGGGTTTCGACCAAGCGGGCTCGGTGTTAACTTTTGTTGACTTTTTTAATAATGACCTAATTTGAACCTCTTCATTCATGGGTAGTTCCTAGGGCTTATTTTGAATTGTTTGGTTAATAATTTGCTAGATTTGGTTGGTTTGAAGGCTTGTTCGAAAGGCAAGGCCATGGTTGGACTTTGAGTCGATTGCGAAGCGAGGTAAGTGTCGTGTTTAACCTTGACTTGAGGGATTAGGACTTGTTTGCCTATTTGCTACGTGTTTAAATATGTGGCTACAATGTATATGTGAGGTGATGAGTACTTATGCATTGTTGTTGGGTTAAAGCATACGAGTGCGACTTGTTGCTTGTAGTTTATCGTCTTCTTTACTTATGATATCCATGCTTAGATTAGTTTATTTCTTATTTGATCAGTCTATCCGCATTTATGAATTAAATTGTGATGGTTGAGTATTTCATTAAAGTTAAGGATTGGTATCTTGGAACCATTATTGACGTAAGGTTTATTCTTACTTAATCTTATATTCATTACTACATGCTGAGGAAGAGAGTTAAAGCACGAAGGGTGATGTCGTGCCGTATTTATCGTTTCATGAAGAAATTGAGAGTAAAAGCACGAAGGGTGATGTCGTGCCGTATTTATCATTTCATGGAGAGATTGATAGTAAAAGCACGAAGGGTGATGACGTGCCATTATTATTGTTTTATGGTGAGGTTGAGAGTAAAAGCATGATGGGTGATGCCGTGCAGTCTTTATTCATTATGTTTATCCATTTTCATTGGTTGGTGATTTATTTGACTGTCTTATGTTGACATTCCTGTTATAGCTATCGTATCATGTTCCCCTTCGCATGTCCCATACCAATCGTACGTTTTTAATCTCTATTTGTTGTTATGTTGCACACATATCTTCGTTTGTATAGGCTAAATTACGTGAGTGTCCTGTCATAGCCTCGTCATTACCTATTCGAGGTTAGGCTCGACACTTACGAAGTACATTAGGTCGGTTGTAATCATACTACACTCTGCACTTTTTGTGCAGATTTTGGTACTGGTCCCAGTTGTACGTGATGTGCATCACAGATTGGCATATTTGGAGACTCGAGGTAGATCTGCTGGCGTCCGCAGACCTTGAAGTC